AGTAACTGTGAAGCAGCAGAGACCCGACCCCCAAGACCAGAGGCAGACGAAAAAGGGGGGACCAGAGCCCAAGACCCCAGGAGGGACCCCGACCGCGGAGCCCCCAGAGCCACCCACACAGGACGAACCACTCACCCACCCCCCAGAACGGACCACAGGGGAGAACCGGAAGATCCCCACCAGCAACCACATACAGTGACCCCCCGGGGCCAACAGCGACAAACTCATAGGCCCCCGTCGGCACCCGCCGCACCGATGTAGGTCCAGGTCCAGGCACCGAGGCCCGGGCACCGAGGACTCACACCACCCAGGCCAAGGCCTGACAGGGCCAGAGGACCCGAGCCCCACCAGGCAGACACCAGGCCGAGCCGACACACGCCCAAGCGCCCAGCCCCCGATACCAAGGGCCCCAAGCGCGCCGGCAGGCAAGGGCACACCCCACCAGGGGGCCGCGCGATAGGGACGCGATGCCAAGCACCCCCAGTTGTATCAAAGAGGGGGCAGTCCGAGTCTTGGCCTAACAAATATCCATTCATACACAGACACAATCACACTATCCCAACCTCAATCTCACATTCATTCACTCAAAGACATACAATAACGATACATTTCATTCTTATTCCCGATACACACTCTAAACCCCCCAGGTCCAAGACATGTACCCGCCCTCTACAGGGGGCAGCCCATGCCCAAACCCAGGAGGTAAACCCATTCATTCCTGAGCGGAGCTAAGCTTCAGATCTTAACTTTATGTTTGGGAAATGTTTGGCACTTGTTCTACGTTTCAACAAAAGCTTTACAAGAAGGGAAAAAAAATCATGTTCTTTTCAACAAAAATACATGCTATACAATACATACTATACCAAAACAAGTTAGTTATTCCAAAGTCTTAAACCTCTATTCTTTACACTGAACTGTCCATAATTTGCCATTTATTAATTTATTTTCCCCCTTACTTGGGATTTTATTTATGGCTTTTTAAAAATGTAACTTTTTTGGAATCTAGCTGAAGACTTGTTGCCATCTGTAAATTATCAACCTGTCCTAATTGTGTTCCAACATAGAATATATTCATGTTTTGCATTGATTGATATAGATTTTTTTTATGTATTAATTTTATAATTTTCCTCTCAATATATTTGTTTTTGCATTTACCAACTTTTGATCCCACTAGGTTAGCTTATGACATGCCTGACAGCCGTTAGCATTGTTCTCCCAATTGACTGACAATATATCTAATGTGTTTATTAGCTCATGGGTCTTTTAATCATAGTTTATTTATACTTACCAGAGTCACTGATGTAACTTTAAGCATGTTTATTGGTTTTGTGTTAAATTTGATTGCAAATAAACTATAAACACTTCTGATTATTTTCTGACAAAAGTGTAATTTTCCTTTTTTAAGTTTGTAAAAGTCTTCATATAAAGCAGGGGTGTCAAACTCACTTATAAAAGGGGGCCAAAATTAAAACCTTTTTCAAACTAAGGGCCGGTTTCAGAATCTACATTAACTCAAGTTAGATACCCAACATCTTTTCTTGGTTGCAAGTTCCTCAACAAGAGTTTGATTGGGCTCATTTGATGTTTTCTGTTGCACTGTTGCCATCATAATCAAAGATAAGTGGAAAAAAGTATTTTACGTTTAACATATCATCTTGGGGGCCAGATAAGATGTCAACGAGGGCCACTTTTGGCCCCCAGGCCTTGAGTTTGACATATGTGATCTAAAGGCTCTAGAATGTATTTCTTAATTCATGTAGTATTGTAAGCATCATCATGTGGAGAGAAAAACCAAAGATAAAGTATGAAAATGAAAATGTTCTGTAACTAAACTGATGGATCTATAAACAAGCAGGCAGACAGATTTAAATACTTCTCTACACATTTATTCTCTCTATGTATTTCTGTTCAGGTTTCTACCTCTCTTCAGATCACAGCATGTGTTTGGAGTGTGACTGCCATCCTATGGGTGCATTACAGCATAGTTGTGAGAGCCAGACAGGAAAGTGTGTGTGTGCTCATTTCTCAGTTCGAGGGCGACAGTGTGACCAGTGCCATGAGAAGTATTTTGGATTTAACCCTGGTCTGGGCAAGTAAGTATAAAATAATTTAATCTGACACAGATAAACAAAAAAAATATGAATGTTTAACATTTTGTAAAGTTTCTACCCTATAATTGCACCACCTTTATTATCTTACATACAGATTTGTGCACATGTGATTATCAGAGTACATATGTCTGCAGGTGCAATCTTATGGTTTGTAGATGATTGGGTAGATGTATGGCTTTCACAAGCTAGGAGCTGTTTGACCTTTACATTGCTGCTTGAAGTGTGTCATAGTGGATAGATTGTCCACAAACAACCAGTTGTGCACTCTGCTTTGAATATGTTGGCAAATTAAAGAGTATTTTAGCTGACCTTTGTATGATAACATCAAGTTTTAATGAGTTTCACAACATGTTTAATTGTTTTCAGTACACCATTTAACTACAAACCACTATTGCAGTTATCAAAGCATGACGAAAAAATGTTTCCATTTCAATGTACATGAAGTATGAATTGAAGTTAAGGTTGGGTAGAAAGTAAAAGATGTGGAAAGTGTTTTTTTATTTAATTTTTTACTTTGACTCATCATTACATTACCCTGCATATTTGAACAACTTACTGAATTTGTTAGTTTTAGATCAAGAGATCCCCCAAGAAATTCATCAAAGTTGTGTGTTAAGTCATAATTTTTGGATTGCTGTATAGGTGAATTAACAAAGGATAGATAAATGAATGTGGATTGTGCGTTTTTAGAGTTTAAATGTATTTCAAATACAATTTAAATAAATTAAATAACATGTATTATTTAATGCACACTTAGACTAAATTTACTTCACAATGTTGAAATTTAACTTATTGTTGATTGCGCGTCAGTATCTTTACACGTACACACAAACTCGTACTGCAGTTTTAGTCTCATTTAAAAATGGAAAAACTAGGTCTGATGTTGGTGTTTTCTGTCTCCTTGGGAATGGGAGTGAAGGTCAAGTCATTGTGGCATTTTGTGTATCTTTATGTGTGTTTCTGTATGAGCACAGTTGACAGGACAAATTTGCAGCTCTTTATGAGGCTGTGGCTTTTCACACAGCAATAAAGAAAGTGTAGTGGTGTGTGTGTGTGTGCGGGAGAGAAAGAGATAGACGTATAACATGTGAGTACAGTGTTCATCGGAATAAAGAAACATCGATAATGTCTATGTCTGAGTGTGGGTGGCAATAGCATGGGTTATATGGTATCACCTTGCCAGTGTGGGGTGTTTTTAAGTCGGCCAAACATTGTCCAACGCTTAGTTTGTGCCATTTGTGCATTTGTGTGTGTATAAAGGTGTGAGATTGGTGGCCGTATGCTCACCCACTGCTAACCCCCCCAGAGGGGTAACACCAAATCAGTGACCCAGACATTGACACTGTCAGACGCACACATACAGACACGTCCATGCATGCTTTGACAGCTCTGATGGGGATATGCAGTTTATGTGAAGTTAATTTCACAGCCAAAGGGTGAAGAAAATGCTAGTCAGGGTCTCCCTTACTGTATTAAGGAGACAACCCAGCACCTCTACCCCCCCCCCCCCACCCACACACACACACACATACACTTGAAGGCCTCTCTCACATTGACTAATGTTCATGAGTCCACCATCAAGAGAACACTGAACAACAATGGTGTGCATGGCAGGGTTGAAGGAGAAAGCCACTGCTCTCCAAAAAGAACATTGCTGCTCGTCTGCAGTTTGCCAAAGATCACGTGGACAAGCCAGAAGATTGTTGGAAGAATGATTTGTGGACAGATGAGACCAAGCTAGAACTTTTTGGTTTAAATGAAAAGTGTTGTTTGGAGAAAGTAAAACACTGCATTCCTGCATAAGAACCTTATCCCTCTGTGAAACATGGTGGTGGTAGTATCATGGTTTGGGCCTGTTTTCCTGCATCTGGGCCAGGATGGCTTGCCATCATTGATGGAACAATGAATTCTAAATTATATCAGAGAACTCTAAAGGAAAATGTCAGAACATCTGTCCATGAACTGAATCTCAAGAGAAGGTGTGTCATGCAGCGAGACAATGACCCTAAGTGCACAAGTTGTTCTATCAAAGAATGGACCAAGAAGAATAAAGTTCATGTTTTGGAATGACCAAGTCAAAGTTCTGACCTTAATCTAAGCTAAATGTTGTGGAAGGACCTGACGCGAGCAGTTAATGTGAGGAAAACCACCAAAAACCAGAGTTGAAGCTGTTCTGTACGGAGGAATGGGCCACAATTCCTCCAAGTTGGTGTACAGGACTGATCAACAGTTACTGGACGTGTTTAGTTACAGTTATTGGTGCACAGGTGGCGGTGGGGGGTGGGGGTGGGGGGTCACACCAGATACTGAAAGCAAAGGTTCACATACTCTTGCCACTCACAAATATGTAATATTTCCTCAATAAATAAATGACCAAGTATAATATTTTTGTCTAATTTGTTTAACTGGGTTCTCTTTATCTTCTTTTAGGACTTGGGTGAAAATCTGATGATGTTGTAGGTCATAATTATGTAGAAATATAAAAAATGATTAAGTGTTAACAAACTTTCAAGCACCACTGTATATTGTACATCTCTATGAGAGTGACCATTATAAATTTAATGATGACAAAATATCTTATTTTTATAAACGTTTAAAAAAAAAGTGTTTGGAAGGGACTTGTAGAGGATTATAGGATGTCAGAGTCCATCCTAGTCTGCAATGGCTGAGATGTGAGGGACATCCAGGACAATTTTACAGTCCATTGCAGGGTTAGCACACAGAGAGATAATCGCTGTCTCAACTTTTGCCAATAAAACATGGCCGCTTAATCTAATGACTGCCCCAGGAGCACCTGGGAAGAGCAGCTAGATGCAGTGTTACTCAGTGGTTCCAATATAATCATTTAAGACATTTTACATTTATGTAAAAAAGTTGCAAGAGGTCAAATAAATTCTAGACATTTTTCATTCCTACTTTGAATTAACATTGGTAACCAGTTTACTGTTGCATTTCTAAACAGCATTTGAATCCTCCTAATTTTTGTTTTCCCATTGTTTGATGAGCAGATGCCAGCCTTGTGCATGTGATCCAGTGGGTAGTGCCAGTGATTTGTGTCATCCAGACACAGGGGAATGTGTGTGTAAGCTGCTGGTAACTGGAAACAAATGTGATTCTTGCCAGCCTGGAGCAAGTCATCTTGATCTTGAAAACCACTTTGGTTGCAGTAAAGGTGTGTTTTACACTTGGATTTACACATGCATGAAAGTACTACAATCTTTATTGAGTGATACATATTATGCTGTAAGAAATTCTGTTTTTGTTTCATTGTCTGATAAACATAAATGTATTGCCTTCTACTGGAATAGCCCAACATGATTACAGAACTACTCACTAACTTGCAAGGGACCTGGTGTACCCTCCCTTCTTGTGTATTACTGGGTTAAAGGACTGGTCACAGTCCATCACAACACCAGCATTGAAACATAAAAAAAAAAAAATATGCACCCCTCACACCTAAGGTCGATTTAAATCCACCAGTTAACCAAGCGTGCATATTTTTGTATTGTGGAAGGAAACCAAACTGTTCAGAAAAAAATTATTACATGTACAAGGAGAACATAAAATATTCATACAAGAAGCCCAATAATGGTCAATCAGGTCATCTTGACAGTTTTTTTTTTTTTTTTTTTTTTTTGTGGAAAGATGCTTGCCCTCCATCCAGAGGGCTTCATCAGTCTGAGGAGTCCCAAGTAAACTGTTTTCCCCACTAAGCAGTACACTCCTTTAGTGGACCACCCAGTTTGCTGGTGATAAGATGGTTTCTGGGGGGCTGTCCTGTCCCCCGTCGATTCCTCCCAGGCAGGCAGCCACAGCCAAAGTGGTTCAAGACATCATAGTTCATGCTCAATCATCCAGGTACAAAATCCAATAATGATCGATCAGGTCATCTGGACCTGGACAGGGAAGAGTGTGT